GGAGGGGAACAACCCCCCTCATTTTCACACGCCAAACAACGCCTGAAGCGCAAAGAAAACCTCCCAAAATAGGGTAAACCGAAGAAATTAGTGGTTTTTCGTATTAAAACCAGACTCACCGTTACGGCCCTGGCTCGCTGCGCGGCTGCCTCCGCGCCTCTTGCCTTTATTTTGGGGAGAAAACCCGTCTTTTTAGGGCTTGCAGCGAGGCCGGACAGGCGTGGGGTGAAGACACCCCCGGTGACCTCGTTGGAAATAAATTGAAGGGGAAACAAATTTGGGGGGGGAAATAAATAATTTCGGTAAAAGCCCACGGCAGCCATTTTAGGTTTCACCTAAGCTCAAGCCTAAAACCGCGAGCGGTGGATTGACGGCGTCACTTAAATTAAGGCAATTTGGGGATTTTGTTTTGAGACAAGCATAAAGACGATCTGAACTTTTTTTTTTTTTTTTTTTTTTTTTTTTTTTTTTTTGGAGGCTGCTCTGAAATCCTTAAAAATGAAGAATTCCCGCAGCAAGCTGCCGCTCCGTAGTGATTATTTAACGGAGTCGTTTTGGTGCAAATTCCTAAATGCAGGAAAAAAAAAAAAACAACCCAAACAAAACCCTGCAGAGGAGGAAAACAAAAAAACCAGGAAAAATAGGGAAATCCCTCCACTCTGTATGGAGTTTTCCAGGTCCCAATTCCTAAATACAGGAAAGAACCTGCGGAGGAGGGAAAAATAGGGGGGAAAAATGAGGTTTTGGTGCTGGTAGGAGATGGAGAGCAATGATTTGGCCTGGCAGCTGCCGACTTTGCCGGCAGGGGCAAGCCACAGGGGCAAGCAGGGATGCCCAGCAGGCTGGAATTCTGGCTGGAAGAGCTTTTTTCCCCCTCTTCCCACTGCTGTTTTCCCATGGGATTAGCGTTTCCCTGTGGGATTAAGCCTTTCCCCGTGGGATTAGTGTCATTTCCCTGTGGGATTAGCGAGGAGAAAGGCAGGAGGAGACTCTGCCCGTTCTTGAAGGTGAATAAATGGGATGAGGGACAGCAGGCGACCGTTGGGAGGGGATGGGACAAGCGGAAAAAACCTTCGGGATGATCCATCTGGTGCAGGAAGACGCGCTGCGGGATCAATCCGGTTTTTTCCCCAGCCGTTTAAAGACGCTAACCGTGCCGGCGCTGTCCATCTGAGCGCCGGGGGTCTCGCTGGTGCTGCTCACCTTCCCGCACCCCCAGGTCCTTTTGATTGTCACCCGAAAGCCGGGTTCGTTTTTATCCTTCGTGCTGGTGACGTCGCCGTCCTGGGCTTCGACCGGCACCGCAGCAATACCACCGCCGCCACCGATTTTGGATGCCGCCGGTTGCGGTTTCGTCGCCGTACGGATCCCAGCGGCGTTCCTGGGACCAAGTCGCTGGACGGCGCCGGTGACCGGTTTGGTTTCCGAACTGGTGGCTTTCGCCTTGATGGTCCCTCCCGGCTCGCTGCTTTCTTTACGGGGAGGTTTGGTGAGTTTTTTTAGGACGCCGGCGTACTGGAGGACAGAGCAATCGTCGTCGCTCTGGGTGGCTTTGTCCCCATCGGTCCCCAGGGCGTCACCCAGTCTGCTGAAAACCCCCGTGGGCTGGAAGAAAAGGCGGTGGGGGAGCCCGTCAGCACCCGCACCCCCGTTTTGGGTGCTCAATTTACCCTCCCCTTCCCCTCTGCCCCCCGAATTCCACCACCGTGACAGAGGCAAACGGACGCCGACCTCGTCCGCGAAGCGTTTTGGGATGTAACGACGCAAAACGCCGCCTGCGGCAATTAGATTAACAATTAGGCTATAAACTGGGTCTATAAATCAGCCATAAAATCGTATTCCCTCTTATTTTTCTTGAGGGAGGCTGAGCCTGCGACTTGTTTTACACCCCAAGACTTCCACGCTGAGCTTTCTAACTCCCAAGGAGAGAAAAAAATCTCCTGTATCCCCCATTAAAGGGGTCAAAATAGAAGCGCAGATGGGGATCACCCAGGGACTGAGGATCCGCTTGCCTTTGGTGGCTCCATCCTGCTTTTCCCCACCATTTTCCGGTTATTTCAAGGTTCTTTCAGCCCCTCCGCAGCGAGCGGGTGGCTGCGAATCCTGAAATAATCTTCAGGGAGCCGACCCTCACGTCAGGATCTCGGCGGGGGGCGGCACAGCCGCCGAAAGCGACAGCTAAACAGAACCGCAGCCGAAAAACTCGCATCCTCTCACCTTCCCTCCTGCGGTCGTGTCCGCTTTTGCCTCGGCTCCCAGCCGGTCAAAGACAGACGTCCTCTGCAGACCTGTTTTCAAGAAAACGTGGGGTGGTTTGTTGGGTTTTTTTGAGGTTTCCTCGCAAAAATGAAGCTACGCTGGGTCAGTGCCGAGAGCTTGCGGCCTTTCAGCCCCGCCCTACCATGGGGGCAGCCGGCAAACTAAAATCCGCTCGATAAAAAACGTGCGAACGGCCCCCTGTCCCTTTCTTCCTAAGGCTTAAAGAGACGCGAGTGGAACCTTTACAGCTTGTGGCGAGTCGATACGTCCTTGGAATAACAAAACTTCTACCCAGTAATGCTCTGGATATGCAAATCCTCGTGGGATTTGTAACGATGGACTAAATTGGGGCTAAACTGGGCTTCTGGAAGAAAAAATGAAGATCAAAACCCCTCCCAACTGGTACCTTTGGCCGCTTGCTGCTCCAAGATTTTCTTTGTCCTCGGCGTGGTGCCCTTGGGCATGTTGATGATGTATTTCCCTTCCATTTCCGCCGTCACCCGGCGGCGTTTTACCGGGATCGTTGGATTTTCATCCGCCCCGTCGCATAAACCTGGTGGGACGAAGGAAAAGCAAATCAAGGGCTCTCGGTCCAACACGACGCAGGGGGTGGAAGGGTTTTATGAGCGCTCGGGCGCAATCCCGGGCTCGAGCGAGCTCCGAGGCCGGCTCCTTCGGCACCAACAGATCTCCCGCAGCGCTGGGGCTCTGCAAACCCCCTCCTCCCCTGTCTCTTAGCTACTCCCAAGCGCAAAATATCACAGAATTGGTTGGGCTGGAAGGGAACTTAAAGCCCAGCCACCCGCAGGGACGTCTCCCACCAGACCAGGTTGCTTCCCAGCTCCGTGCAACTTCACCTTGAACGTTCCGCAGGGCGGGAGCGGCCACAGCGTCTCCGGGCAGCCTGTTCCTGTGTCCCGCCACCCTCACAGTCAAGAATTTCTAATGGAAACCTCCCTTCTTCCAGTTTAACACCGTTCTCCCCTCGTCCTGTCTCTATGGCTTTTCATAAAGATCAGAGAATCATCGAATCGTTGAGGTTGGAAAAGACCTTGAAGATCGTCCAGTCCAACCATTAACCCAACATGACCAAGGCCACCACTCAACCAGTTAAGGGTGGAGTCATAATTTCATGTTTCCTGCCTTGGTGGCTGGATTATTTTTTAATGAAAGGAAAACGAGGAATCACTAAGGCTGGAAACGAGCTCTAAGATCATCAGTCCAACTGTCAACCCAACACCCCCATGCCCGCTAAACCATGGCCCCAAGTGCCACGTCCACACGGGTTTTGAACCCCTCCAGGGATGGGGACTCCCCCACCTCTCTGGGCAGCCTGGTCCAGTGTGTGACCGCTCTTTCTGTGAAGAAATTTCTCCCAATACCCAATCTAAACCTCCCCTGGTGCAGCTTAAGCCCAT